ATTACCACGGCCTCCATTGAAGTTACTGCTGCCAAATCTGCCTCCTCGCCCTCTACCCCTTCCACGGCCGTGCCCACGGCCCATGCTTGCAACTCCGGCACCATTGGGACCCGCCAATTCGCGACGGCGGAAATCTACTTGTAAAATTTCCCGCTTCACATCTTCGAGCGAGAGGCGGGGCAGATCTCGATTTAGGTTGATGATGAGCGAGGACCATGAGTCCGGAAGTAAGGCCAGCAGCTTGGTCTTCTTTTGAAGGTCACTGTAGTTCTGGTCAGCTCCTTCAAGCCGTGTCAACAAGTCGAAGAATTTCTGCACTCCTTCCTCTACCGGTTCACCTTCGTCAATTCGAAGTGCCGCCATTTGCCGCTCCAAAACCACAGCCACCGCTGCTGTTGCAAGAGCGTGTACACCCTTGAGAGCAGCCCATGCCTTTGGTCCCTTTGCTGGTTCATGCTGAAAAGGCCTAAAATGAGAGATAGAGTGCACAGTCGGATTTCCGTCAGACGGCTTCAAATATTGATAGCGATCTGATGTGAGCTTCACACGGTGATTTGTAAGTTTAATCTAGAGCGCGTTGTTGTTGCCTATCAGCAGCAAGTTGAATCATGACATTCCATGAAGATTTGACGACGCAATGGCGGTTTAAATGGCAGGAGGTATAGCAGCCACTATAGTCTTAGAAGTACAAACTTAGCAAGAAGAATCAAGATTGAGATGGTTCCCAGCCTCTACATACCCCAAGAGCCGAGGTCCAGGTTGGTGGTACACCACCACAGAGTCCCCAACCATGAAGGGACTCGAAACAAACCCAACAAGGGGCTACACCAAGTGAAATATAACACTACACGAAGTAGCATTACTATTTTCACTATTTTAATATTTATCCAAGTCCCTTGGGCTTGAAATCTTGAGCTCTTGGTCTTGATTCTGCAAGATAAATTCTTCTTGAGTTGATGAGGGCTTGCTGCACACATCTGCAATGCGATGGACACTTCACACTCGACAAAACAGAAAAACACACGCGACACGCAAACGACGACTTGACATGCGAGTTGTAAAATCTCGTTAATGTCTTGACCGACACAAACCACATTGTGATACACTATTCAAGCACACACACAATAACTAGATAGCAATGACGCAGACTCACAGGTCATTCCATGCCATGCATGCACACACATGAACAAGGATGACAAGCCGAGTGCAAGCCTTAGGGTTGCACCAACAGGAAGGAGGTCTAGGGCGTGATTTAACGGTGGGATTTGAACCCGCGTCTTCATTGCACAATGTATGAACTCTTGTTAGTCTCGAATTTGAACATCACAATGCAATGTTCGCGAAAAGTGAACCTGCGTCATCTACTCTATGCTCCATGCAAAGTATCTTTTGGGAGAGGGCTAAATCTGGGTTTGCAGGGCAGACATTTTCGGGACATTTTCGTTCGAACATGTCCCTCAACTAACCCACAGGTATCTTCTCGGCCAATCTGGGGACATCGCCACGCAGGGGTCAGGTTTGGGACAGTCCCTTTTTGGTGATGGAAAGAGCCCCTGCTGGGGAACGCGGAATCGGAAACTAAACCTGGCAAAACCCTAACTTCCCAAAAACGGGTGTGCGGAACGTTGGGTCTCTGGAAGTATGCTTCTGAAAGTTGTTTTGGGGTTGCATGTTGTGCATCCGCGTCTCCCTAGGTTGGCTGAGCTATCGCTGCTTCGGCAGAGGTCAAGGGGAGATGGGCCCTAGGTTTGAGCACCATCCAGATCCGCAAAATGCGAGGCCAGTGACATCAGATACGAGATCATTTGTGACACGGAAAATACACTTTCCCCAACAGTCGCACGTGGGCCTAGTTGGAAAGTGTGGACTGAAGCGGCATCTGAGTCCAGCTTTGGTGCACCGAAGCGTAAGATTCGCTTGTCCTACTAACCGAACTAGACCACACTAAAGATGTAGCGACCCATGCATCTTGGTTGTTAGGGTGTGTCACATTTTTACGAACAGCTTCCGAACCAAACATTTACCGCAATTTACCACGCTTTTGTTAATGTAAAATGCAAAACATCACACTATAACGCTTTCAACCTCTCTGAATGGTCGAAAGTGAGTGTTGTTCGTGAAAAATGTGACACGCCCATAGTGACAGCTGTGAAGAATGACGGGGGAACTACTAAAACCGCGTTACATATAACTAGAAAATTGATCAGGTGTACTAGAAAATGTTTTTAAGAATACTATAAGGAATTTTAATTCCTTACCGAGTTGTACTGCTTATCTCTAATGTTACATTCCCACAGGCATCTTGTCGTAGTATTTTATCAAGCGACGAGAGGCTCCACAAAATCTAGCTTCCATCAGTTTGGTGCGCCGCTATTTGTGTAAAAATTTGGGTGATCGAATAGGTCCCTGCATGTACCACTGGTTTAAAGAACTAATCGTAATGAAACGTGCAACAATCCAAAACTGCCGCACGCTCCAAAATATGTGGAATATTCTGACTGGAATCATTGGCCAATCGTGCTAGAAATCTGCCCCCAACATTCCAACAAGGAAGACAGCGCACGAAAAAAAAAAAAAAAAAAAAAAAAAAAAAAAAAAACAACAACAACAACAACGCCAAAGGTTTCCAGATCTCAAACTTGTTGTCAACCTTTCCAAGCTCGACACAAGCATCAAAGCTGAGGAACGGCGCTGCTACTAGCATCAGCCATGTCTTACGCCAGGGACTAGCACATAAGATGTACGAGCACAGCTCATTCTGCACTCTGCTCCTCCCACCGTACCATCCTTCCCATCACCAGTACTTGTTCATCATGGCGCGCACGCGCAAGGGCCGCGTGGTAGATATGGCCGACCCATGCCCACGGGATCTGAACGAGATCCCGTACATCCCCAAGAAGAGCACGCATCTTGCGGGTGGGCTTCCAATGCCCCCGCTCCGGAGCATCTCGTCCTCAATCGCTCCTCCTGGCATGGTCTCCCCTCAGATGCCAGTGCACCACGCCAGTGCTCCTAACCCCAACGTTGAGGAGGACGAAGAATGAACGCAATATGGGCATAACACAGACAACAACGAAGACATGCAGAAGATGGGGAGCGAAGGCGACGAAGACGAGTACCCTGGTGGCGCCCCGGCCTTCCCCCAGAGGTGCGGCAAGCCACCGAGCGTCGCAGAGCGTGGCGCCAGGTCGTGGTGGTCGCTTCGCGAGAGTACAGTGTTTGTGGCAGCCCGATGGTTCACGAAGGAGGGAATGAAGCCTTTGCTGGGGAAGCAAGGCTCAAAGAACTGGTAGAAGCTCACAGCGCACGTCGCTGCTGAGTACGAAGGGTGGTGCGAGAACGCCAACGCGCTCGAAAAGCACTGGCGCAAGCTTGTCGCGGAGTGGAAGTCGTTGCGGAAGGGCGACACGGCCAGTGGGGGCGGCGCGGTATGCAAGCTGCCCTGGTGGGAGTATATGGAACTTTACCAGAAGGACACGGCCGCCGCTGACCCGCAAGCCCTTGACGGTGCACGGGCGGCGGACGTGACCGTTGAGGCGGGCATGGACGTCCTTGGGACCAGCCTTCATGCGACGGCAAGCGCGTCTCCTACCGGTGAGCTCCCTGCACTCTTGTGTGTGTTGGACGTTAGCCGATGTCGGCTTTGCGGTTGTTGTGTGGCTTTTGAAAATCCGACATGTCTGTAATATCGTCGATGACATGTTACGAGGGCATGCTTGGCATTCAATAAAACGGAAACTCTCTATTAAATTCTGCATGCCCAATACCCATCGATCCCAGGTATATCACCCGTGGCCCTCCGACGACTCCAGGAGACGTTATCCATGGCTGGCGTGTGCCACGTTGCGGAAACCATTTGCCAGTGCCACCATGAGGCGCTCGGCACAATAACTAGCCTCATCCACGACTGGATGGCGCAGCAATCTGGCGCTGTGCACCAGACAAATGGCCCTTCCCCATGTTCCCAGTCGCACACCACCAGCTCCACTGTGCGCGTCTCCAATGGCCGCCGCGAGGAAGCGCCTGAGGCAGATAGCTCAGGGTGGGAGGTGCCACGCAACACTGCACCATCTAACGATGCTGAGGAGGGGGTGGAGGCATGGTACCGCGACGTAGCCGAGTAAGGTGCGCCTCATGCAGTGCCTCACCCAGCTGCTTGCGCCGCTCCTTAAGCGCCGCAGCGGTTGCTGGCATGCACAGTGCCAAGTCATATTCCGCCAGCTCCCCCCCAGTCCACCATGCATCTCGACTGTTTGCTATCAGAGCCCAGCCTGAGTTGCGCAGCCTAACCTCCACCATGGTTTCCAGCATGTTATGCAGGATCACAGCACACGAGGCGCCAACAAGAACCCGCCAGAGGTCGCAGTCGTGGCGGCCTCCAAACAGCCACCAGCTACCCTTGTACGCACCAATGACGCGCTCTATGGCCATCCGAGTGGTGCTTTGGCAATAGTTGAAGCGCTGCTCCCAGGCCGTCATGAGCCAATCAGGTGGTGCATGGAGTGGGGGGAGGCAAAAGCCCCTTAAAGGATACGCCGCGTCGCCAACCAGCTGGTAGGGGGGGATGTCTCCATGTTGTAATCTGGTAGAGCTAAGAAACACTCGTTGGTCATGTGCACTCCCAGGATACCCTATCAGATAATCCCAAATAATTCCACGCACATCACACGTCATTTGCGCCATCTGTTCTCTCATGGGAAAACGAACCCACTCCCGTTTGTTAAGGCTTGGGATGGGAACGTTGTCAGGAAAATGTCCACCAGCTTGTGGCACAGAGTCTTGAGAATTCCAAACCAGAAACTTAGGTCGATGTACGACATGCCGCTCGCAAGATATTTGATAGGCACGAGTACCGCGACTGTTATGGGTATGAAGTGTCGCTGGATGTCTGGACTACAATCCACTAGGTTATATTCCCTTGTATGCCATGGTTCTGTTCATTCGTTAGCTTTGATACAAGACGCTGATGGAAAAGCGAACTTTTGCTAGGAAACACTGATGAATCAGCGTAAATTTTCTTGAGGCTGACGAAAAGGTTTTTTATGGAACCTGACATCAAGCAATCAGGGTGCCCTAGTACCAATCGTGGGGCCTGGTGTGAACTCTGAAAATACAAGATTTCATCTTGGGCGCAGGACTCTGAGTTGACATTCTGAACCCTGAGTCATTCAGACTCGTTGACTCTTGGACACTGAGATTTGAGAGTAGCGAAAATTTGAAAAATGACCTTCCAGACTCGGGAAAATTTTTGGGGGGCAAAATCAAAGTGTCTTTTTTTGAAACGTCAGCCCTGTTTCCATGCTGGCGGCTGATCACTGGATGGCAGCTGAGCATCTATGTCTTATAAAATAGAAGCAGCACCCTTCATCCCTTGCTCGTCCACCTTGATCGCTGCACTCAGCAACGACCCCACCACCTCATCCCTGACAGCGAGTAGCTCTTTAGCAATGCCCGCCATGCTTGGGCGACTGGCAGTGCGCTCCACAGTGCAGCTGAGAGCCAGCTGGGCCAAGCGCAGCACAGCATCATCAGGGGCGTCCATGCTGAGGCCCTTGAGGCGGGTCGGGTTGTCGGACGCCAGGCAGGCCTCCACCTGAAGCAGGCGCACAAGCAAGATTGGCATGGTGTCAAGATGGCATAAGGGACAACTCAAGGCTGAATGTTTGCTAGGTTGAGAAAATGGCTGCAGCAGCATTAACAGCAGTGCCATGTGCAACATTGGTTGCCTGTGCAACGGAGGTTGTTAAGCGCATCCCACAAGTAACATCACTTACCCATGACAGAATGTGGTCGCACTCTCCATCATTCGTATTAAGTGGGAAGTTCCGCTCGGTGAGGACCACTAGCATGAGCACACCAAAGCTGCACAGAGGGCGAGGTTGAGATGTTACTCTTGTCAAGACTAGGTCACCTGCTGGGAATCTTAGATCACCTAACTCCATGTCCAGTGAGGTTTTCATTGATTCGCTTGTAGAGGCCACCCATTCAGAATCTTTGATCAACTAACTCCATGTCACTAGTTGAGAATAATATTCACCTGTAGACATCAGTGGCGCTGGTTGCCTTTGACGTGCGGAAGTAGATCGGATCCACATAGCCCGGAGTTCCCATGACGCGAGTAGTGCCTACAGTGCTGCCCTCTTCCTTCCTCATAAGCCCAAAGTCTGCAATCTTGGCCTGATGAACAGAGCATAAGAGTAAGCCTGGTTGAGAAAATAACACGCGAAGATTTGATTTCCTTGTCAATCACACTTAAAGCTCGAGTCCCACATTGCGTGCCGCGAGGTTCAAGTTTTATAAACTTGAAATCTGACGATTTTTAGGCGTTTCTTCACGAAACTGAGGTTACGCAAATCGCGAAGGAATCTGATTGGTCGGAAACTTGACTGAAGGGTTTGCGTGGGTTGGCCAGCGGAAATTGAAAAGTGGGGTCATTACAATTTGGGACTTTTGTGTAAAACCCAACCAGTGTCCCTGGGAAACGCTGACTCAGCGAAACTTGGTACACTCGCGACAGTTTCGCCGAAATCGGTCGCGACAGTTTCCCAAAATATATAATTGAAGTGCATCATGTTTCGAAAGCATGAACGATTTGGGCCGCAGGCTTTAAACTCTTCTGCTTCCTCATGAAAAGATTCATAAATTCTGCAGCATTTGTCTGTATATGACTCACTCAAAGTACACCCTGGCTCCACTCTTGTGTTCTCCACACACCTCTTTCACAGTGAGAACGTAAACATCTGGTTCATACCAGGTATTTGCTTCAACTGTGGCGCTACTCATTTCGAAAAGATTGACACTTAATGATAATAAGCACAGTGATCGTCCTTTACATTTGTGAGAACCGAAGAGTGTGTTGCATAAAGTACAGAGCTTGCCTGCATGTCTGCCCCGAGGAGGATGTTAGCGGGTTTGATGTCGCGATGCACAAGGCCAAAGCTGTGGAGGTACTCAAAGCCACGTGCAGCGCCAATGAGGATGTCCAGCTGTTGCTTCATGCTGAGATGGAAGGGCGCTTCTGCAGAGATAGAAAGCATGAGTGACACAGCATGAGCGACCATAACGTCATGGGAGAAAGCAAGCAAAAAATGGCCGGTGCTGAAACCATTGTGCCATACTTGTATCGATCCACTTTTGAAGGTCACCGTTTTCAGCAAACTCGTAGATCAAGACTTGCTCTGGCCGAGTCCTCATGTCCCCTCCAACAGCAAACCCGAGCAGCCGCACAATGTGGGGATGGTTCTTGAGCGCAATTTGCTGGACCTGGGAGAAAATGTGCTCAAGATTGACGGGTTGGGTTGGGAGTAGACATGAGCAAAACCGGGTAATTACCCGACCAGACCCGGTTTTGCCCTACCCGCGATTGGGTCCGGGTTGGGTCGGGTCGGGTAATTTCCAGGTAATGTTTGGAGGTCTGTTACCCGACCCGACATTTTAATACCGGGTAATTGGGTACCCGTCTGGCGGGTCGGGTATACCCGGCCCGCATTTAATTGAAGTCGGGTAATATTACCCGGGTACCCCTAGGTGGCAGTAAAATTCAGCAAACCCGGAGTAACAAACCCAAAGTCGGGTCGGGTACCTGCGACCCGAGGGGTAATAAATTACCCGAAATTTCGAATAATTCTCAGGTAACGGGTATGCATTACCCGGCCCGAGTACCCGACTAGACCCGGCCAGGTAATTCGTCAAAATCCTATTACCCGACCCGGCCAAAATGTCGGGTCAGGTCGGGTACCCGCGACCCGACCAGGTAAAATGCTCAAGTCTAGTTGGGAGTAGACATGGGAAAAACGTGATTGCGATTTAAACCACATAGCATCAGGGGTTGTTGCGAATGCGATGCCATTCAAATTCAAAACTGGAAATCGCATTGCACGTTTGGCATGGGGGAAAAATCTTCCAATGGCCAAAAAAAAGACTTGCGCATATAAACCCTTGAGAGGCGCCCTACAATCTACTAGGTTGGAGAGTTTAGACGGGATAAAGCATAGGCTAGGTTGACGAGGGGCGGGAAGAGGTGCTTGCTTGGCAAAAAGTGCAATGCGATTTTTGCGACGCGATGCGATGCAATGCAATGCTACCCGTGTCAAATTGGGAGTAGACATGATCATATCTAGGGTTGAGAAAAACCGGGTAATTACCTGACCCGACCCGGTTTTGCAGTAACCGACCTCGGGTCGGGCATTTTCGGGTCGGGTCCGGGTCAGGGAATATGCCCACGACCCTTACCCGGACCCGGCCTTAGGGGACGGGTAATACAACACCCGCCTGGTGGGTCCGGGTATACCCGAGACGGTAACCCTGAAAAGGGGGTATTACTACCCGCCACCGCCTCCTAAGAAACGGGCTAGGCTAGCTGGGGTTTCTGAAAACGCGACTCAAGAATGAATCGTGTTTTCTGGGGGGTCGAATTTTGACCACCCAACTCCCTCCCTTTCACCGCACTGTACTCCTCCCTGTCTACAAACTCCAACATTTCCAACCGAACTCCATCCCTTTTACCACACTGAACTCCTCCCTATCTACAAATTCCAACCTTTTCTCCAAATCCCACCCAACTCCCTCCCTTTCACCGCACTTAACTCCTCCCCATCTACAAACTCCAACTTCTCCTCACAAATGCTCCACTCGTCCTCCCTCACCTCCCAAACCGTTTTGTCGCAAAACCTAAAACACAGCGCGACTTACACCCGTGTCTAGGTGTGATACCCGACCTCGGGTATTCATTGCCCGACCGGGTCAGGTACCCGTTGCCCGACACGTCCGGTAACGTTTCGGGTAACAGGTATCAAATACCCGCCCAGGTAACCCGCACCCGACCCGCCGGGTAATTTTCCGGATTCTGGATACCCGACCCGCCCTAAAAGCGGATCCAGGTCCGGGTACCCGACCCGGGCGGGTAGTATGCTCAAGCCTAATCATATCGCATCGCACTGCATTGCAAAAATTGCATCGCATCGCGTTTTTTGCGATGCGATGCTATTTGCATTGCGCGACATTTTTTTTATCGCATTTTTATCACGACCACTATTTGCGACTATGCAATATGCGATATAAAACATCGTATACATAAACATCATGGTAAAGTATCATGCGATACCAAACATGGTATATACATCATTCTACAATGACAAAGAGCTACCTTTTCGATAAGTGCCATGGTCAAAGCATGCCCCAGATGAGTAAACTAACCTCTCTCTGGAAGTTTGCATCTAGCAGTTTGGCTCGCTTGACAGCCCACAGGGTGGTGCTATCCCTTGGAGACACGCCCTTGTACACATTAGCAAAGGCACCCGAGCCAAGGTGGTTGTCATCGGACCAGTTGCTCGTGGCTGCCATGACTTCCTCAAGGGAGTACTCGGTGCATTGAGAGGCTGCCACGCTGCCAGCCAAGCCTGCTCATAGGATGAGGGGTAATCAGCGCAGCACTTGTGCACAGATTTCAGTGTCCCAGCTGTGCAAACGGTGTGCAGGGGAAATGCATCTTCAGGGATTAGGACGCCAGACTGAGAGACCATATTTACAAGCTGGACTTGAAGTAGCCTTAAATCACTCGAGTGCGGGGGAGTGATGAATCGAGAAACATGCAGGTAGAAACACATTCTTGCTGAACATCAGTTCTTGCCACCGTTCAGCCTCTGCAGGCAGGGACCGCTCCCAGTGCAGCCTCTATTCGTCCACTTGAACGGTGCAGCAACTAGATGCTGTGGAAATAGAGAATGCAGCCTGTGGACCGATCGGCTGCCTCCCCTTCCAGACGTTTCTGATGGCGGTTGGGTAGTCGCGAACGTGCTATAGGTTTGAAGTAGGGGGTGCAATACGTAGGCTGTTCCTGTTGACAATGACCAGCTTTTGACAACTCATCGTTACAACGTGCACAAGAAAAGGAGTGAGAGTGGGGATGGGTTAAGGAAGGGGAGGGGTGTTGAGGTAGGAGCATCACAGGGAGAAAGAAAGGATGGGAGAGAGCTGAGGGAGTGGAGGCGGGGTGTGTGGAAAAGAAGAGGACGAGGAGAAAAAGAGGGATGGATGGAGATGGAGAAGGAGGATGGTTGGAGTAGTGACGCCAGGAAAATCTGCATAGAGATTCCTCATGCCCCTCGCAGTTCTGCCACGTGTTGCTTGGGAGCTCCAGCATCCGACCTGTCCGATGAATCGGTTGATTGGAAAAGAAGACACTTCGAGTAACGTGCACTGCACTTGGCACCGTGTGGTGGGCGAGATGGAGTTCATCTCAGCAGGATGAGGCTTGGATATAGAACCTACACCGAAACCACGCCTATGCCTCGGCTTGGCCCTTGCTCATGTCCAGTATTGGAAGACAATTGGAACAAAGGTAAAGCCGAGGGACTTCAAATCACTAAAATCGCTGCACAGCTGAGAGCATTAAGCGGTTCCGTAGATCCACTGGCTGGTTAAGTGCTGAAGTTTAGCTATATATCCCCCCCCCTCCTACCCCCTCCCTCCCTTCACAAGCCATGGGCAGAGGGACGGGCCCGGGACAGCCGCCCCGGCCTGTCCTGTTTGCGGACGTGCTAGGGCCTCTCGTTTGCCTTGGCCCAGCCAGCCGGTGGCCTGCCCCCTCCGTCTCCGATGACAACGTCAGGGGGGGGACGGGCCGGTGGGCTGGTACTCACCAAGTTAGCTGTACCCAAATCTGTATGAAGACTGGTGCAGGGAGAGAAAGCGGTTTTTGAATCCATTCTCTTCCCCACATTTTCTAATAGAGAGGGAAAAGGGAGAAGAGAGAGGGAGGAGAAGACATCCACTTTACCTTCAAAATCTCTTCGCAGTATGTTCTTGCTCCCTTTGACTGCTGTAGGTGCTCCTTGTGCTGCTACTAACTTAAAGCCTCTCCGCCATAGCAGCACACCAATCAACAGCAGCAGCAGGGAGGCCACAGCAGCCACCATGCCAGCAATGGCTGCTGCTGACAGACCGCCTCCAGACTGGGAGCTGGACGTTCCAAGCGAGGGGGGGGATGCTGGAGAGGAGGAGGAAGGTGAGGGGGACTCAGCGGGTGTCGATGGGGGTGTTGTGGTGGGCGCTGGCAATGGGGGGCAGAAGGGGGGGGGGGGGGGGGGGTGGTTGGGTTCAAGGAGGTAAGGGGCGGGTGTGAAACGGTAAGCAATGGAGAGAACACCAGCTATACGGGGTGGGAGGAACAGAAAGCTTTGCATTGGGATGAACAGAATATTCGGGCGAGCGCAGAGAAGAGTGAGTCAATTCAACTCGGATAGCGGCCAGTGGAGCACAAGTGAAGCCCAGTGGAGCACAAGTGAAGCCCAGCTGCGCACAGAGAATCATGCTGATAGACATCACATGGGAAGGAGGAATATAAATCATTCGTCTCACATGGTGCTGCCTTGACACAAGTGGTGCAGAAGGAGAGGCACTGGCGGCAAAAAGCACTCTGAAGCGTTTGTACGACCACACATTGGGTGAAGTCAGGAGGGCATGTGCTGTTTGCATTCATGACCCTGCACGTGGAAAAGGAAGGTATTGGCGCCAACAGATGATTGAGGACAAGCGATGTAAGGTCGATTGCAGCCGAGTTTCAAGCATCATGCGCGCGCTTCAGGTGGGCTGCTTCATGAGCTTGGCGAACCAAATTCATGGGTCATCAGGAGAAAAGAAGTGAACTTTCATTAGCAGTTCACATTGCAAAGCCTGCCACGTGACGTAGGTTTTTGTTGAGCAGACATGAGCTACCAAGTCAAGTCTTGACTAGACTCACCAAGTCGGCACGACTTTAGGTCGAGTCGAATTGGCGAGTCAGCTCGAGTTTTTCTCGCGACTCGACCGACTCGAATCTCTCGAGTGGATTCGGCGGGTCGCAAACCAAAACTCGACTTGTCTGCTCATGCCTGGACTCGACTCGTATGCTCATGCCAATTGGTGTGGAGCTACTCTGTCGTCACAAAAGGCAGGTGGGAACGAGAAGTTGGTGATGCTTTTGTGACTTCTGTATGGGTAGTAGCCGAAAACCTCACAAGGTGCACTATTCTGAAATCCAATCCCGACTGTTGTGCTTGGATTTGCACTCCCCAAGCATTCTCTCAAAGAGATCTTGCTCTTATGCAGTACCCAAAGCATGGTTGTGCGCATCAAAGCTGCACTTCCTTCGATTCTAAATCGAGTACAGACTATTTGCCAAGTGTTTTGAATTCCAGACGAATGCTCTATTATTGACAGCACAAGAATAAGCATGAATGCTAACTTTGTTCACAATGAAAAGGAAACTGCTAGACACTCTTACGCTCTCCTATCGTGTCAGCACAAATGGCTTAGAGCGTTTGTTTAGAGACCACACAATTCATGGCAACATCTGCATAGCTGGCAACATCTGCATAGCTGGAAACTTGCGTACTTCCAATCAGAGAGGACGACCCGCCCATCCGTGCCGGAAGTGAGCAAGCGGGGTCTGGCCGTGAGGCGTGGGTGGCAAGTCAACCGAAAATGTTTGGCACTCACAAGTTACGAAGATTTGTGAGCTTGCCAAAGGACGGAGGAATTGTGTCAACCAAGCTACTATCGTGAAGGTCTCTGATGGGAGAAGAATGACGAGCAAAGCAGGGCGCGCATATGGCAAGAGTCATGGAGAGTACATTGCATTGCACGTGTATGGCATTTGACAAAATGGAGAGGGGCAGACAGACTATTTGCTAGTTTGATGCTTTCAACGCTCCCTTGTTTGCCTTCTTAAAGTGTACCCACGAAAGCTGGTTTTCCTTGTTCTACTACCGGTAGCACGCCAAGCCGGTGTCCCCTTCTTCTTTTCTTTCTTTTCCCCGGCTGATGGTGCTTATGTCGCACAATATGGAACATCCAAACCGACTTTCAACACCTCTACCCTTTCCTGCCGCTATTGCAAGGCCGCTGGTCATGCCATCACCAACTGCCCACTACTCGAGAAGAAGAAACGGCGACAGCAGCAGCAGCAGCAGCAACAGCAGCAGCCGCAGCAGCAGCAGCAGCCGCACCTGCACCAGCAGCAGCACCACCAGCCATACCTCCAGCAGCAGCAGCAGTTCAACTTCCGTTCTCACACATCCAGCTCGCCCAACAAGGCATCCACGCACTCCCCTCTGCCTTATTCTGCCCACTCTGCCCAGCCCATCCTCCCCTCTCCTAGCTACGACCCCACTTCCCCGACACCTGCCACTCCTCCTTTGTCCACGGCATTGATGTCTTCTCCACTTGACCCTCGCTATGCTGATGTCGCTACCGCTCACTTACTCCCTGCCTCTTGGCTGCCGTCGCTCCCATTCCTTCCCTCGCTCTTTGTGCTCCTCTCCCTCCTGCTCTTCCTTTTCTCCATTATGTTTCAGCGCCCTCTAGCCTCCGCCTTCACCAGCTCCCATTCCTCCTCCCCCTCTTCCTGGCTCCTTGACTCTGGCGCTTCATCCCTTCTATGCAATAATCCTCATCTGTTCTCTTCCCTCCACCGGCCGTCCCCTGGTAGTGGCGTTAGATTTGGCGGCGGTGAACAGTATCTTGCCCAAGGCATTGGTGATATCATCCTCTATGCTCGTCATGAGAACCATACGCATCCTGTTACCCTCCACGATGTCCTCTATATTCCTCAAACCATTCACAACATCATCTCAGTACGCAAGCTAACGGAAGAGGGTCTCACCACCCACTTTCCCCTTCATGCTCCAGCCCAACTGTTCAAGGGGTCCACCCTTCTTGCTGTTGCCTACGAGGATATGAAGTTGTTCTTCATTTCTCTGAGTCTCAGCCCTGCTGCCTTAACCTCGCAAGCTCCGGCTTCTACTGTGTCGACCCCGTTTCCACTTGTTCCAGCATCGTGCTCTGCTGCCGCTACTCTCCTTTGGCATCGCTGCTTTGGGCATCTCAACGGCCCCAGCTTGCAGCAACTTCACTCTGAACGGATGGTCAGCGGTCTCCAACTCCAGGGTTCCCTCCCTTCCAATTGCACTTCGTGCCTTCGTGGGAAGCAGACTCGCCAACCGTTCCCACCTTCCATCTCCTCCTCCTCTGCCCCGCTTGACCTCGTTCACACGGATGTCGCTGGCCCCTTTCCCATTGGCACCACCTTTGGCGGCGCCACCTATATCCTCACCTTCATTGACGACTTCAGCCGCTTTACCACCATCTACCTCCTTAAATCGCGCTCTGCCGTCCTCTCCACCTTTCAGCGCTATCTCGCTACTGTTGAACGCCAACGTAACACGCGCCTCAAGGCGTTGCAATCAGATGGTGCCCCGGAGTATCTTTCCACTGCTTTTCAGACCTTCCTCGATTCGCATGGCATCACCCGGCGGGTTTCAGCCCCATATACTCCGCAGCAGAATGGCGTCGCGGAGCGGCTGAACCGCACCATCCTGGACATGGTGCGGTGCATGCTACATGACAGCGGCCTTCCTCGTTGTTGGTGGGGAGAAGCGGCCCTCACCGCTGCCTACATTCGGAATCACTCTCCCTCCCGTTCGCTCCCTCGTACCGTCACCCCTATGGAGCTGTGGACGGGTCAGCGGCCGGATGTCACGCACTTTCGCGTGTTTGGCTGCCCCGTTTCTGTGCTTCTACCTTCTCTTCAGCGGCCTTCTAAATTACATGACCGTAGCACCGCGGGCGTCTTCCTTGGCTATGGAGTCCTTGACGGTTACAAAGCGTATCGCATTTACGTCCCTTCCCTTCGCCGCGTGGTCTACTCCAGCGATGTCACTTTCCTTGAAACCTCCCCTTCACCACCTCCTTCTCCACAACCGTCACCACCCCCACCCTCCGCCCCCACTCCCACCACCATATCTTTTCCCCTTCACCCGTCTTCCCACCATATCTCCCTTCCCTGCCCTCCCCACCCCACCCCTTCAGCCTTACACGCTTCCATCCTTCCTCCAGCCCGCCTCTCCACCTTCTTCCTCACCCCTTCCCTTTCCTTATCTTCCATCACCAGACGCCCAAGACTTTCACCTCACCTTTCCCGATCCTTCCTCTCGAACCATCCTTGCTGAAGATCGCGCGTCCACCCATTTCCTTCACGATTTTGCACACATAGCCCTTCATTCCCACTACGAGCCCGCTACCATCATAGCCGCCCGTTATTGCCCTGCTGCTCCCCACTGGCTAGCCGCTGCCGATGCCGAAATCGCTGCTCTCCTCGCCAACAACACTTACAGCATTGTGCCCATGCCACCCGGCTGCACCCCCATACCTTGCAAGTGGGTGTTCAAGGTCAAAGAAAACCCCGATGGGTCCATTGAGCGTTATAAGGCTCGCTTGGTGGTCAAAGGCTTCAAGCAACGTGAAGGCATCGACTACACAGAGACTTTTGCACCTACCATTCGCTTTGCCACGCTCCGCTTGCTCCTCACCCTTGCTGCCGCTCTTGATCTTGAGATGCATCAGCTCGACATCTCCAATGCCTTTCTCAACGGCGATCTTGACGAGCTCATCTACATGACTCAACCCCCCGGCTTTGAGCTCCCTGCTCCTGATGGCTCTCCTCAAGTTTGTTTGCTGCACAAGCCCCTATATGGCCTCAAACAAGCGCCCCGCTGCTGGTACAAAAAGCTGAAAGAGGAGCTTCTCTCCTTTGGCCTTCACACCTCCGACGCCGACCCTGGCCTCTTCATCGCCGCCTCCTCTTCACCTCTCCTCCCTCATCCATCCCACTTCTTCTTCGTCCTTGTCTACGTGGACGACCTCATCATCCTATCTACCACTCTTGCACCCCTTACCACCTTCAAGACGTCTCTGGCCAGTCACTTTAAACTCCGTGACCTCGGCCCCCTCACCTATTACCTCGGCCTCCACCTAGACCGCGACCGCTCTTCCCGCACTCTCCATGCCCACCAGTCCAAATTTATTGCTGCGCTCCTATCCACCTATTCGCTCTCCCATTCCAACCCCAGCCATACCCCCATGGACTCTAAGCTCCTCCTCCCTTCCCACCCCTCTTCACCGCCATCTCAAACCGTCCCATATCCCTCCTTGGTTGGCTCTCTCATGTACGCCATGGTCGCTACTCGTCCTGACATCGCCCACTCCACTGGCCTTCTCTCCCGTCACCTCCACTCATGGTCCGACCCTCATTGGATGGCTGCCAAACGTGTTCTCCGCTACCTCAAGGGAACATCTTCCCATGGTTTACTGCTTGGTGGCAATCCCTCCTCCCTCCACCTCCTCGGCTACTGTGATGCTTCATGGGCCTCTGAAAGTGAGGATCGCCGTTCCCTCACGGCCTATCTCTTTTTTCTTGGTCCTTCCCTCATCTCCTGGCAATCCAAGAGGCAATGTGTGGTGGCCACGTCCTCCTGTGAGGCCGAATACTATGCGCTTGGTGCGGCAGCCCATGAAGCTCTTTGGCTCCGCACTCTCCTCACCACCCTTGGACTTCCCCCCGCTGGTCCCACCCCTTTGATCTGTGACAACACAAGCGCCATTGTCTTGGCCAAGGACGCTGGTGTCTTCCATGCCCGTGCCAAGCACATTGACATCCGCCATCATTTCCTCCGTGATCACGTTGACAAGGGCCATATCTCACTGCACTATGTCCCTACTCATGCCAACCTTGCTGATCTCGGTACCAAGCCTCTATCCCGTGACACTTTTCAGCGTCTCCGGTCCTGCATTGGCCTACGCCCTGCCTCTTCTTCCCGAGACTCTCCCTTGGTGTCACCCTAAGGGGGGGTGTTGTTGAGGATCTGTTTTAGGCTTTTATCTAGGATGTAGTCAACTTAGTACATTTCTCTGTTATGTGTAATGTGTTACATTATATTAGGTGTAGACATTAGTGGTTGGGTCATATTAGGAATAGGGTGCCCCCCAAGTGATTTTATCAGAGGCTAGGCACCCCAAAATCCGAATTGGGGTACCTCACCACGCATCCCAACATTTGGGACGCGACTCCAACCTGGACCCACGTTTCTCAACCATGAAAACGCGGTTCCAGCTTGTGGAACCACGAATCCAACTTGTGGAATCGCGGTTCCACTAGTGGGGGCGCTTCCAGGCCCACTTTGAGGGTTCCTCACGTCCCCACCTTGACTATAGGCGACTTGAGCACCCAATTGGGCACCCCAAACCTCTTGGGTGCCATTCTCCTCACCTGGACCAGCCCAAGTCCCCCAGCACTTCTCCATCTCTCTCTTCTTCACAATCTGGGCCTACTTAGCCTAATGTCTTTGTCATCTTTATTTACCTTTTTGTCCTACACTTTCTAGGGCTCCTCTTGGACCCTATCTTTACCATCTCCAACTTGTGCATCTTACAGCTATGCACATCAAGTCTACTTTTCTACAGTTTCTACGTAACATGAACATCGGAGAGCAGCGTGACTTGAGCCTAGAGGGCAGGGGGGGGGGGGCAACAAACTTGGAAAAAACAAATCTGGAGTTGACAGATCTGTTTTCCCGCAACCAGGGGATGAGGAGCAACTTTCACAACCAGGGGTTAATTTCGCATATGCCTGAGGGGTCAATCTCGAAAGTCGTAACCACCTTGTGAGGGGTCAAGTCCCGCGACAAACACCTTGTGAGGGGTGATTTTTTAATTCCACAAACATCGAACCAAAGAGGACAAGGAATGAGGAAGGAAAGAAACGAATTGTGGAAATCAAGTGCCAAAACATGAAGGAATTGCACCACACTAACATAGTGCAACACACGATATAGATTGCATTGACACGCAAATGTTATGGAAGATGTTCATATGTTACTTACTAACCATGAAGGGGAAAAAACATGTAATGTGATTTGAAGTGGGGTCAAAGAGTACAATGTGCGCACAAATAATGTCATAGGAGTCATGAAGCCCGCCCAAGAAAGTGGCTCACAAATTGGTCAGATATTGAAGATTGCCAATTGTCGCAGGTACCATGCCAGCCAGCGTGTTCTGCGAGAGAATTCTGCAGTATGTGAAACAGGACTGTCAAAAACTGAGAGGAAGCTCGGTCGGAATTACGGGCAAAGGGCATCGATGCAACAAGGGACTGGCTGCCAAGTGCACAAATTCCAAAAGGAGCACTGAAGCTCGACAAATTCCCCCAAATATCGGCCCTAACGATTTTTTGGAAAGATTAATGTTAACCTTGTGAGAAGCGCACTAGTCCACGCCAGGCATGCCTCGAGACATCGTAGTAGAAATATCCACAACGAAACAGAACTCAGCTTTCAGCAAAACATCATATCATACAAAAGGTTTCTATTCCTTCAACAGTTCGAATTATCTGGGTCCCCTCCGGATAGGCACGTTTATCGGACGGGCCTAGGTCCGGCCGGCCCGGCCCGGGCCCGTTATTCTTTAGGTCCAAGCTGGCCTGTGGCCCGTGCGCTCCATCGTCGACTTCGACGACCTGGGTGACTCGAGTCCCTCCAGCCGGTTTCTCGACCTAAAGGTCGAACTCAATCCGCAAGGGGGGAAGAGGGAGGGGGGGGGGGGCTCGACGAGTCGGCTGGCTTGGAGTTTCTCTGGCTCGCGTGCTTAACAATTCCGAGTCAGAGAGTCTTGCAGATCTGAAAATGTTCATGTCACCCGCGGAATCCGTGCTGGCAGGCATTTTGCATGCCAGGTCAGCGGATTTGTCGTTTCACCCATTAGATCCGTGCCAATCAAAGACCAGCTGCCACAGGGCTTGTCGAAGAGCCGACGAGCCGGACTGGCTCGCTGCTTCTACATGCCTCGCCGTGTCGAGCCGGCCAGGCTCGGCTCGATCCGGGCCGACCTCGCAAAATCACCGACTCAGGTGGGCGCTAGGTTGAGCCGAGCTGCGGTTCGGCCCTTTGCGTTGCTTGTTCCTAAGTTGGCATTTCAGTCAGCCGATGCAAAAACGTTTGCGAAATCCATGCATGAACAATGCCCCCCATTTCGCCCCATTTTGGGTTGAAATTTACTGTGGATTTTGGCAGGAATGTTTTTAGGAAAACCAAATCGAAAACTCTATTTCCCCGCAAAAGCAGATTATTGCCCAATTACTTCTTCAGCAAAACCAGATGAGCATTTGTGAACAATGTAACACAACGTAACCGTAAATCTATGTTGGCAACTTAGCTCTTCCTTGCATATCCATTTTAAAGGCTCAAGGTTCATCAAAAGAGCACACAGCTGATAGCAGAGAGTTCATACTTGGTGTGCAAGCTTTCAATCTGAAATATAGCCCATTCGTGCGAAGAGCGAACATGGGGCGCCTGGCTGCGTGGCTCACACATCAAACCAATAGAAATAACCATTCGCTCACAAGGTGCGAAGATTTGTGAGCTCGCCAATGGTGTCAGGGATTGTACCCCCCAAGCCGTTGTAGCCGAGGTCTCTGATGAGGGAAGAACAGAGGGTGCGTACATGGCGAGAGTAACTTAGAACACGTTGGATGCACATCAAATGAAAGTAGACAATTTTGTTGAAAAGACATAGTTTGCGAGATTGATGTTGCTTTAGTGAATTTATGTCTTGTATATCTGGCAAGTGCCTGTCTGCTGGAGTGCTGGAACACAGGGATGAGCCAAGGGCCAAGCTGCAGTTCGTCCTTTGAATCAAGTCAAACATTCATTGGCGCGAACCACTCGGTCGAGCCGAGAGTGTCGACGCGGCAAACAAGGCGGCTCTGGTTCGCCGGCTCCTTGACAACCCGAGCGGATCTGGCGGGCGAAATGCCCACCGGCGCATTTTGGGCGGACGAAATGTGCAGAATGCGTGCCGGTGCGGGTCTGGCAGGTGAAATGTCAGATCCGCACGAGTCGCGCGAATCCGCGTGAATGGAGGCACGGATGTGGCAGGTTTCTTCTGCTGATGGAGCCAAGGGAGGCTCTCGAGCTGGGCGGCTCGTCATGAACCTCACCACGGCCCGCATTCTATTTACGAGCCATGAACCAGCTCGGCTCGGCTTGGTTTTTAGACAGGCTCGTCCCGACTCGGGCTCATGCTTGTGCCTACTAGAACGTACTGGTACGCGTGAGCAAGTGGCAGAGCCGTAGCTCGCCTCGTCCCAGTCGGCTCGTGAATGTGACAAGCCGGGCCCCCAGGCCAGGCCAGAACTACCGGCTCGGCTCGGGACCAGCTAGAAAGAATTGAAGAATTTGTCTCAGTAATAGCATCAGGTAGGCATGAGCAAAAGGCCCGGACGGGCCGGGCCGGCCCGGACCGGTCCAGAAATTTCTCGGACCGGGCCGATACTTAGAAGGGTACCGGCCCGGTCGGGCCGGTCCGGGTTTGGCCCGCCCGGCCGGGCCGGCCCGCCGGCCCGGTGTGGCTGTGCATGTCGGGCCGGTCCGAACCGGTCTGACGAGCTGACGCTGCCGGACCGGTTCGGACCGGCCCGTCGTCGGGCAGCGTTCGAGAAGTCAGGCCGGGCCGGCCCGGTCCGACGTGCGGGCCGTATCATGGGCCGCGCAGCTCGGTTGACCGCGGGGTCAAAATTTCGACAATGAAGTCGAGACTCATTTTTACAGCAGATTTTTTTTTTCGATTTAAAATCGCATCGCATACATATATATATATATATATATATATATTTATATATATATATATATCGCACATCGCATTTTTCTAGCGATGGTTATTTAAATCGAATGCCATGTTTTTTTTTAATAAATTGCACATCGCATTTTAAATTGCATTTTACTTAAATTAAAAAACACCTCAGAAAACCGGATAAAAAACAACACCTCTGGGAATTTGGATCGCGGGCAATCTACTCCATAAACTATTTTCGACCACCAAAAACCGTGAAGAATGGTGGGTTTATGAGACATAGACATGGGTATATCCCTTTGCATCGCGATATATCGCATCACGTTTTGTCACATTTTGCGATTGCGATTTTCTATTATTTTTTTCTGGAAAAATCGCAGCGATGCGATGCGATTTAATCGCGCGATTTTTGCGATAGCGCGATTATATCGCGTTTTTTTAGCGCGGTGTAATGCGATATGCGATTTAAATATATCGCGAGCGATACTTTCACGTATCGCGCGCGCGAAATTGGCAGATTATTAAGCTAGGTGCTAAATGCTAGGTTTCACTTCACTTGCTGAAATGGCGGGCGGAAATGGCAAGCGGCAGTTTAGGGTTGGCGTAATTGATGGGGAGGTGTTTGTGTGAGGAGCTTGGAGCACATCAGAGGAAGGGTTTGGAATTCTAGATGGGAAGGAGTGCAGTGTGGTAGAGGGAGGCACCTAGAGGGAGTGCAATGCAATGCGGTTTAGGGGAGTTGGGTAGAGGTTCAACCGCACTAAACTCCCCTGCATCTACACGCTCCAAATGAGCTCCACATGAGAGAGGCACCACTTTTCCCCATCTCCCGTCATTTTCACTTACCTAACTCCGCGCGAGCCGCCATGGCCTTGCCATGTGGTGTGGGGAAGCCTTTTTTAAAGCGGAAAACAGTGGCCCCTAAATGTAGACATGGGCAAAATGCGATTGCGATTTAAATCGCATCGCATGCAGGTGCGATGATTTAATTTGCGATGCGATTTTTGGAAAAAAATACATCGCACATCGCGTTTTGCCTGCGATGTATTTAAAAATAGCAAGCGATGATTTATTAAATCGCGCGATGCGATATAAAATCGCATCGCATTTGTAAACGTTTTCAAAAAAAAAAAAAAAAAACTTTTGAAAACTGGAACACGTGATGGTGCGGGCATTGACGATTAAAAATACCGTTCAGAGTGGGTTTCACACAAATGCGAGCCCCGTGGTAAGGGCCCGACTTTCGTAGCTTAAAAAAAAATAGGTGCATGGGTTTCAAAAGGGGGGGAAGGGGGGAGGGCAGCTGCCAGCTGGATGGTGTGGGGAGGGCTTTGCAAATTTTCCCTATGTGCTGGCGAGATTTCGCGCTGCGATGTATTTCGACATCGCGCGCGATTTAATTTAAATCGCAAATCGCGTTTAAATCGCGATTTTCCGCTGCGATTTAAATGCGATTTAAATTAAATCGCGCGATAAATAAATCATCGCATCGCGCGATGAATTAAAAAAAAAAAAATACATCGCCATCGCAAATCGCGATTAATCGCGATGCGATGCGATGCGATGCGATTTAAATTGCTCATGTCTACCTAAATGCGATGTGATATTATATCGCATCGCGCGATATATCGCGTTTTATGGTGCGATATTGAGAACTATCGCACCCTAAAACGCGATATGCGATTTCAGTTTTTTGTTTTACATATCGCAGCGATGCGATATCGCATCGCTGCGATATACTGCGCGATAAGACAGAATGCGATGCGATAAGGGGAGTGTGTGCTAAGCCCAAAAACGATTTCCCAAGGAGATTCTCCGAAAGAGAATTTCACAAATGCGTTTTTGGGCTTTGCGTTTTTTTCCCCATATGCTGGCGAGATTTTACGGTGCAATGTATTTCGACATCGTTCGCGATAAAAAAAAAAATCGCGAATCGCAATTTAATCGTGATTCTCAGCGCAATTAAAACGCGATTTATATCTAAACGCACGATAAATAAATTATTGCATCGCTCGTTTTTTTTTTTTTTTTTCGCAATCGCAAAAACGCGATTAAAAGCGATGCAATGCGATTTAATCTGCCCATGTCTACCTGTAAGGAAGCGGAGTAAATACGGAAATGCAATGCCTCAACACTCACAAGAACATTAGGCTGCTCATGCGTCCAATAGTGGATGGAATGTATCCAGTCGAGCCAATATTGTGAAGATTCCTGGTGGAATGTGAAATAGGTGTTATGCGGAAGGAAATTCAATGAGGGAGAAAAAAACAAGGAGGGGGGTGGCTAGGACTGTACGAGTACGAGTACCTTATCCAGTGACTAGTCAAGAAACAGCAAAACAGACATGAGCAAGGGCCAAGCCAGGGGCGACTCCTGACGAGCACCAGAGTGCTGCCCCTGGCTTGTCAAAGGGGGTTGAGCCTACCGTCCCTCAAGCCACCCTTGGCCCTTGGTTTTAGCTGCACCGTTCACTATAGTCACAGTATTCCTGCTTTCCCACAAGCATCAGAGTTGCATCCCATCTTGCCCTGCGTCGGCAAATCTAGCCCAATGCTAAGGCAGCCGATCCAGGCCTAAGTCAACGCACCCAACCCTAAGTCGGCAGATGTGGCCGATCAACTGCCCTACGGCAGAGGAGATGCCCTTGCCCCTTGTCGGAAGATTTAGCCCAGGAGCAGCGGATCTTAACTAGAAGACAGCAGGCATGAACTTCATTCGCGGATTCTAGTCAAAGACAACAGGTCTAGCCAAAACGTGGTGTACCGGCCTTGGTGGTGCACCGTGCCTTGGTGGTGCCCTACCAACTCCCCAGCACCCAATTATCTCTCCCCCTACGTATTCAACAGCACTGGCAAGTCTACTACCAGGTGCACCGAGTGCATGCGTGCACCGAGTGCATGCGTGTTTCTTGTTTCTACTTTGGCAGCCCCGCTGCCCTGCCCCCATTCCAGGCCACTTCCCTTTGCGCCAGCCCAATTTCCAATCCACTTCTTCTCGCCTACTTAGTTCGCCTCCTGTGCTACTCTCTGGGTTTCTCACAGAATATCTACATGAATGATATCCAAAGCCTAATCATACGCAAGCTTTTTTTTTCCATCGTGGCCTCCTACTACTCAGCACTTATTGGCATCCTCTCTCTGAGCTGGGTGGGGACTAGACTTGAGCATTTTACCCAGTCGGGTCGCGGGTACCCGACCCGACCCGACATTTTGGCCGGGTCGGGTAATAGGATTCTGACAAATTACCCGGCCGGGTCGGGTCGGGTAATAGCGCCGGGTAATGCATACCCGCTACCCGAAAATTACCCGAAATGTCGGGTAATTTATTACCCGCCGGGTAGTGGATGCATTACCCGACATCGGGTTTATTACCCGAGATCGGGTCGCGGGTACCCGACCCGATATCGGGTCACAAAATTACCCGACGGCAACCAGCACGTCAAGTTTCGCGGTGGTTTGGAAATTTCGACCATAGGGTCAAATTTCCCGCGACTATTTTGTTTCTCAGTTTCGTTCAACCTAAGCCTACCCTAACGTGCACCTAGGAGCATTCCGCAGCGGGTCTACTACAAACCACTTCAATTTTTAACGAATCCTAGGGTAGTGTAGAAGACAAGGGCTACACCTTGGCGATTTTAGCTGCCTAGCCGTCCGTTTTACGGTTTCGACACCCCCACTTACAGTTAGAGCGTAGAATACAGTGAAATCGCTGACACACTGAAATCGCGTTTAGGGATTGACGGACAGTTCGGTCATGGTGCTACTGTACGACAGTTGGGACGGGGTTTCTATGGCTGACCAGGACCTGGCCGCCGAAGGAGGAGTCGCCACGGCTGAGGAGGGGGGAGTGCAGTCCAGCAATCGCATACAAGGCGCCTCCCTTGGAGGTCTCCCTGTACCCGCACAGGACCAGAGCTTTGCTCTGGGGAGTGGGGTTCGTGGGGTCGGAAAGGAGGGGAACGTGCAAGCGGTGGAGCCCGGTGAGGGAGGCGCTCTGCCAGGTGGGGGCGGAGGGCAGCGGGTTGGGCAGCGTCCCAGTGGTGGTGGTGATCAGGATTGGCAGCCGGGTGCCGACGACGTGGTGGATCTTTCAGGAGAGGATGCATCCCCTGCCACGCAGGCGGTGGGTCGCCCGAGAGCCGCAAACCAGGGGGGCCGACCCCAAGGGCGTCCTAAGGGCCGGGCAATGGAGGTTCAGGGGGGGGGTGCGGGAGCGGGGCGGCGTGCTGCGCGCTGCCGTCCCAGAGGGGCTGCAAGGGGTCTTGGGCGGAGTGCAGAGGGACGTGAAGAAGTAGCTGCGGAGGATGCCCGAGATGGGGGTGTTGGGGCGACTCCCCGTCGGGCGGGCGCAACCGGGCGCGGGGGAGGGGCTGCAGGGACCGGTGCAGGGCAGGTGAAGCGGACGCGGGTGGGGGAGGATGGCGAACCTGTTGCTGATTTCCTCACATCCTCGCCCCATTGTACCCCTCCCCGCCACCCTTCCGCCCGCACCCCACAGGTTGGTGTTCCCAGGCGGGCACAGGTGCAGGCGCCCCGGTGCAAGCTGGGGGATGCGCACTGGGAGGTAGCTGAGGTTCTGGCCGAGTTCCTGAAACCATTCAATGACATCACCACGGCGGCAGAGGGGTCCTTGTACCCCACGGCCGCTGCGGTGGTGCCACAGTATAACCTCCTCATAGATACCCTCGAGGCCTCGTTCCACAACCCGAGCACCAACGCGCTGCGCAAGGAGATGGACAGGGAGGGGCTGGTGGTCCTGAAGAAGTATTTGTATGGAATTAGTGACGAGTTAGCTGTGGCGACGTTCTTGGACCCTCGGTTCAAGAACGCATACTTCAAGCTGAAGAGGTGGGAGGGGGCGAACCCGACACTGGTGGCGGTGGTTGCTGATGGACCTAGGGTAGTCAAGGATGTGAGCGAGGCGGATGTCAAAGCGTTGGTGCGCTCTCGCCTCCAGTCGTACCTAGACGAGCAGCGCCGCCGAGCCGTGGGCACAGGGCACGAGGGCACGAGTTCTGGCATTACGAGTGGGGAGGGGGAGAGTGGGCTCGGACAGGAGGGTGCCAGGATGGCCGCTGGGGGGCGCTTGACGGACTTGCTTGGCTCGCAGATGGACCTGATGGATGAGGAGGCGGGTGTGCAGGACGTGGATGAGGTGGAGAGGTATCTGGGTGAGCAGAGGCTGGCCATGGACAAATGCCCTCTCACATGGTGGCGCTCGCGCACCTCGCTGCCGGGGCTGCAAGCCATGGCTCGCGATTACCTTGCCATCCCTGCAACCTCGGCACCGAGTGAGCGGACGTTTAGCCAGGGCCGAAACATTGTCAGCTGGCAGCGTCATCGGTTGAGCCCTGCTCAGGTGCGCGCAACCATGACTATCAAGTCATGGATGACGCAGCACGCAGACGCCAAACTCCCAATGGCACATTAGGGTGGGGGGTCAGGGGAGGTGTGTATTGAGGGTGATGACGAGGGGCTGTGAGGGAGGAGGGGCATTGGTCACATTGTGGGTTTGCTTAAATTCCCCTTGGTATGTTTGTTTCATTAGCAGGTGTGCTGGTTTGCATGCTACTTACCTCGAACGCTTTCATGAAGCGAGCTACAAACACACTCGAACACTACTTGGTAGAGTGTAATGCATCTTGGTAGAGTTGCTTCATTCCCCTAAACTTGAACAACGCGGTCAAAAGGGTCTAAGATGCATTCTCATCAGGTTCTAGCTTAGAGTAGCATTTATTGCTAACTTGTACAGCCACCTAGGGATAGTCGGGTAATATTACCCGACTTTAATAAAAACCGGGTCGGGTATACCCGACCCGCCACACGGGTACTGAATTACCCGGAATTTAAATGCCGGGTCGGGTAACCTAATTCCAAACATTACCCGGAAATTACCCGACCCGACCCGACCCGGACCCGATTGCGGGTAGGGCAAAACCGGGTCGGGTCGGGTAATTACCCGGTTTTGCTCATGTCTAGTGGGGACCAACTTGAGCCGAGTCAATTCGGCTCGTTACGGACCAGGCAGCTCACAATCCACCCCTGGCTCGCTGAAGCATATGCCCTTCGCTATAATCACACCCACACAGACCCAGCCTCAGCTGTACCCCAACCACTCTGTCATTCCACCCGCGGGCATGCAAGAATAACCACTATGGTAGGGGCCCTACCTACCAATACAAAAACCGGGCAGTGGTCCCGGTCAAGCGATCCTAAACGTCGCCCTAAAACAGCAAGAAGAGTCGACAATGTATTTTTTTTGTGGTGAATATGGAAATTTTTAACTGTGTATCAAATCCTTCTGGTCCACAATAGATTGCATCCCTTAAGTTGAGTGGGAGATACGATGTTAGGTGGTGACGTGACGCTGCAGCTCAACCCTGGAACCAGAAATCTAGTAAACAGCAAAGCGGATACCCAAGTGGTCCTCCACTTCAGACTTGATGATTCTTGTACCCAAAGCCCTAAACTGCTAGAACAAACTGTAGGGAGTGTTCCCATGGAGGGAATGGAACCTAGACTTCTTAAATAGAAAATGGAATCTAGGTGCGTGGAGTAAGGTGGGCTGCGTATTTAAGGACGGAGTGCTAAGCTAAGAATGACCATAAAAAAATAGACAAACCTGCTCCCACAATAATCTGCCTTCAAAATACATGGAAAGGCGAACCAGCGCGACCCGAGTCGCCCTGGTGCTCAACAAGCTGGCATGGCACGGCACAGTGCTTGCGTGTAAACCTTGTCGAGCCGACAAGCCGACACGAGGTTGTCTTCAGGAAGAACACGAGACGAGCGAGAAGATTTGTGGCTCAGCCCTCATCTCTTGTTTAGCTCCTACGCTCCTATCTCTGGTCTCCTTAGGCAGTAAGAATCTGGCTGTGGTTCAAATGTCAACCCGTTTGACCATTCCACTCACAAGAAACGAAGATTCGTGAGATTGCTAAAGGATTCCGGAAATGAGCCCCACAATCTGTTGTTGCCAAAGTCCCTGATGAGAGAACAATGGAGGGTCCGGATGTGGCAAGAGTACTGCACGCAGGAGAGCGCACGCACAGCGTGCTTAACATTGACAAGGCCTTAAGTCGTGTATTTCGCACCTACCACTGAAACCAAAACAGGCAGCAATCTCACTTGTACAACAAGAGGTCTCCTCGGAAAGCCCTATCACTTTAAATGCTGGTGGAAAAATAGAAGGCAACACTTCAAAAATGTGACGTAAAGGGGAAGGTTGTCCTGAAAGCCAAACATGGGAATCATATGGTTATGCGAAAGCATGCATGCTAGGTACATTTGTTCTTATCAGAGGAGAAATCTATACATCTGAAATCAAATTTGAAATTGTAGGATGTTAACGGGAGGGAGGTAGAATGTTGGGAATGTGAAGCTGGACCACAGCTCGTGCCAAGGACTGCGAAGTTACCATGGAGACGTTACCACAGGCAGGAGTAAAGAAATACTCCAGACAAATACAGCAATTACACATTGAAAGAAAAATGCGCTTGCTAGTCAGAGTGCTCACAAGCTTGTCAGGCTGATCAAGTTGCCAATGGTTGTCGGTATTGATCCCCTCAATCCGCTTGATTGGAAATTCCTAATGGGACATAAGACGGATCAATCTAACATGAATATTCACCACGTTGTTACAAGGGGGGATAGTGGCCTGGCAGTAGCTTCCTTGGAAATGAAACAACATGGAATCACGCCGCACATGGGCATACAGTGCCAACATGAATGTGTGGAGAGACAGTATCTGAGGAAAGGGGGGAAGTGGAGAGAGCAGGGGAATGAGTGAGTTTAGAGGGGAGGGAAAGGTGGGCCGGGGGGGGAGAGGGGATTGTAGTTGGGGGGTGGTGGTGAGCGGTAAAGAAGGAGAGCAGTGAAGGTGTTACGTCAATGGAAACGTCCAGAGTGTTGTGTGACATTGTAACGAGGTGACTTTTGAGTCGACTCAAAAGTCACCTCGGATTGTAGTTGGGGGTTGGTGGTGAGCGGTAAAGAGGGAGAGCAGTGAAGGTGTTACGTCAATGGAAACGTCCAGAGAGGCATGGAAGTGGGTTGCTGTTGTTCGCCACGAGGGTGGAGAAAGTGAGGGGGTGCGGGGTCCTCGATTGTGGCATGCATGCTCATTGGTAAGGTTGTAACGAAATAGTCCAGTATTTGGATTTTATTCGATATTTGAGCAAATAGCATTTATGAAACAGCATTCGGATGTATTCAACTCGCAAAAACAATCATCTACAAGCATCCGATGAACGAATATTCTGTATACGTTTGGATATTCGAGTGCGTGCCATTTGGAGAGCACCGGGCTTGGGACGGGCCGGGCCGGCCTGTCCCATTCAAGGTGCAAAAAAAGGTCGTATTTTATTACTTTTACAGGATAATACGGAATCGTTTTATTCGGCCGTTTAAAACGGTTTAAAACGGTCCTGAGGTGCGTTTTTGGGTTGGTGCAAAAAAAACGTCGTATTTTTTTAACCAGCCAAAACCTGGGGAAAAAAAAAAAAAAAAAAAAAAAAAGTCAAATTGTAATCACTTTCGGATGCGCCGTGGTACTTCATTTGTGAGTGTTGTTAATGTTTTGAGACGGTGTTGAGGGTGATAGTGGGGGGGAAGACGCGGCAGAGGAGGAGGAGGACAAAGATTCAACACACGTACCTGTAGAACTGTTTGTTAGCCCCCTGAGCCCTGAGTAAACCATCGTAGCCACGATGCAACCTGTTTCCGCAGGGTTTTTTTTCTCTCTCTCTCTCGTTTTTTTTTTTTGTTACCGTATAAAACGGACCGTATAATACAAAAAACGTTTTTTTCCACCTTGGTCCCATTAGCAGGCAGTAGACGCGGTCAAGGACGGGCTCGGTCCGGCCTCCGCCTCAGCCTGGGGAACGTGAAAAGAGGATGGGCCATGGGGGGCCCCTCTAACGGGACTAAACGCCCTTCGGGCCCATGGCGTTTCAATCACCACACCACCAACCCGCGCGTGGCGCGACCACACGATCCATGCGGATCTGGCATTCCGCCTGTCGACCTTTGCGGGTCGGATCGTTTCGCAGCCCGATCGGTTCAAAATTTCGACCGAAAGGTCTAAAAACTCTAACCACGCAATTCGGATCTCGCAAGTCGTTGACGGGCCCGTTTCGTCGTTTCGACCCGTTGTTGACAGTGCGGACAGGCCGGCATGGGCCTCTCGACTCGGCCCGAGGCGGGGCCAACTAGAGGCCCGAGCACGTCCGAGAACAGGTCAGGCCAGGCCGGCCCGTCCGTCAGCAGCCCGTCCGTCAGCAGCCCTTGACCTTGGCGGGCTCGGGCCTCTCATTGGCCCCAGCCTGGCCCATGCCCTCGGTTGACCACCTGTGCGGGTCAATAACTGCCCAGTTGATGACCCACGGTGGGGGGAAAGAGGGGGGGGGGAAGAAGGCAGAGAAGGAGCCGAGACAGGCCGAGCGCTGCCTGCCCAGAGACGAGCCTGCCCCGGCCGGCCCGTCATAATCATATCAAACAGGCTACAGGCCAGGACGCGGGCTGGCCCATCAACTCTCATCAACAGGCCGAACTAAGGTCAGCCCGGCCGGGCCGGCCCGAGAACGTCACTCGACCATCACTTTTATCACGCTTCACTAAACCCAATAGTTGCAGAGCAGTGTGATGTGCATTGAAGTGGATATATACAGGAGGATGCCAAACCTCATTCAAACGTCTCCGACGCAAGGCATGAGCCCGAGCTGGCCCCGCGCCAGCTTGGCCCCAGCTCGTAATGGGCTGGACTCGAGCCGTGGTGCCCCGCAGGCCGGCCGGCACGTCGAGCCGGCCAACCCCTGCTTAATGTCAGCCCGGCTCGTCAGCTGACGCGTGGCTCGTTGGTGCCCAGCGCGATAGGAGAAGTGCAGGGTAAAAACATTGACTCTTAGGTCGAAATTCCGGCCCAAATCTGCGCACAGCATCGGGTGTAACGCCTGATCCGCACGAATCGACGGGCAAAACGCCAAAGCATATGGGCTTAGTGTGGCTCGAGGGCCGCCCGGCTCGTTGAGGGCCGGGCCGGCTCTAGCGGAGCCGGGGACCAGCTCTCCCCTAGGGATGAGGCAGTGCCGGTACTCTGGACAGTCTGGCTCGACTCGAGCCGGCATGGCTCCTTATAAGGCCGGCCCTAGGCATGAGCAACGGATCAGTTCGGGTCGACCCACGGACCGCCGAGGGGTCTTTTGGTGGGCCAGTCCCGGCCCGTCGAGTCGACCCATCGGGGCAACCAGTGTGGCTCAAGCAAGGTGCAAAAAAACGGCGTTTTTAACCTTTTTTGACCGTTTAAAACGGCGTATAAAACGGTCGTATAATACGATTAAAACGGTCGAAAGTTGCATTTTGCGTTTGGTGCAAAAAAACGGCCGTTTTATACGACCGTTTTTTTCATACCACCGTATAATACGGTGTACATTGTTTTTGGCCAAGCTAATAACGCTTAGGGGGGGGAGGACTAGGGGGGGGGGGACTAGATGGATGATGCTTAGGAGGAGGAGGATGGGGGGGATGGTGGAGTAGGCGCAGAATGAGACCTAGAAGGCGACGGACTAGGGGCATGGACATCACATACCTATTTCAAAGCCGCTAATTACCCCGTAGAACCATGCAGGCCGCCTTAGCAATCAGGCCACTTGTTTACGCGTGCTTTTTATACATTAAAAAAAAAAAAAAAAAAATCATGAAAAAAGGTCTAACAAAAAAACGTCGTTTTTTACCAAAACCCACCGTGAAAAACGGCCGTTTAAAACGGACCGTTTAATACGGATGCCGTTTTTTTGCACCTTGGGCTCAAGCCGTTGGGGAGGCCAGTTTCAGATCTGAAACTGGCCTACCCCTGTTCCCAGAACTCACCGTTTTAAGCATCGGTTTGCCGGATCTAGTGTTTTTTACCGTCTATGCCTAGGTTTTTTGTGCATCAACATAGACAGGGGTTAGAGCTGAGCTTTTTTTTTTGCCGGCTCGATCCGAGCCAAGCCGGATCGGGCCTGTTGCGTGGACATGGGCAGCATGCCGAGCCTGGGTCGACTCCGCTCGACTCGACCACGAGCCAGGTGAAAGTCGAGCCGAGCCAGCTCAACTCGACCCGAGCCGACTGCCCGAGAATGGCTGGCTCGACTCGGGGTTTTAGGGTTGAGCCAAGGGCCGGCTCGACTTTGGCTCGGCTCGGCTCGACTCACCTGGGGGGTTTCTTGGGCGGATTTTAAGAAGACTTGCTAGATCGTCGTTTTGGAGAAACAACAGTCCCCTAAAGCCGTAGTCGAGCCGAAGTCGAGCCGGCTGGACTTCAGCTCACCAAAATTTTGCGACGAGTCGAGCCGAGCCGCGCGGCTCGACCAGCTCGACCCGGCTCGACTCGGGGCAAGCCGGCCAAAAAAAACCCGGCTTGATTCGCCAAACGGGCGAGTCGAGCCGAGCCTGGCTGGGCATGTTGCCCATGTCTACTGTTGAGTCGGCAGCTCGGCTCGCCTCGTCAAAGCCGGCCCATTGAGCCAAAGGCGAGCCGGCTCGAGATTGGCTCAAAACCCAAACCTAGTGCATAATAGTGGACGATCGGAGCCAGCTCGAAAGTCGAGCCAGGGGTTGGCTTGACTAAATTTGGCCGTGCCGAGCCGAAAAAAACTCTACGCCCGGCTCGACTCCAGGTCGAGCCGGGGCCGAGCAAGGCGGCTGGGCGCTAACCCATGTCTGTTTGAACGAATGGTTAGTCTCCACATTTCTTGAGCTTCGGGTTTAGGCTACATTATTGCTCAAAGGGTAACTCACATCTCCGTTATCATGCCTTGGGCATTGCACGTGATGTTGCTCGCATTGCTGCAGTCCCCACCGACCTCCCAGCCTCGAAGCGTTCTGTTCCACACCTTCTGGCAGTCCATAAGCACTTGCACTGGGGGCAGGAGGACGTGAGGGCAGTGATTGGAACGGAGACTCGAATTGGTTCAGCAATGCCTCGTCGCATCACACGCCCTCCACGTGGTGGCTGGCAAGAGCGCAAGAGGAAGGAAGAGGAAGGAGCAGCCATAAGTCACGTAGATGCCCTGTCGACAGAAGCTGATCGCCCAAGCCTCTCCTCTCTTACCTCGACCTGGTTAATCCTGCCCAGCCACCCGTTTCCGCCTTCCCTCGATCACTATCCCACTCTCGCCCTCCGCGCACAACAATCCCAGTATCCCAGCCCAGCCGGCCACTTCACGCCCCTGCCCGAGCTTCAGTGAACTGGCCGATGGAAGCCAGAGGTCCAAGGGCGGCCCTTCGCACCGGCGGCGGGTGCGACGGGAACCTGCAGCCACTGGCGGGAAGCGCCGGTGGTTCAAATAGCGGGGCGCGGAGCGCTAAGAGGCACGCTTATCGAGCACACACCCTGCGAATCGGCGAAGGGAACACAGGTGACCCGTGAGACCGCGAGACACGTCAGCAGCAGCGCGCCGAGCTGAAGGGCTGTGCGGCGCTCCATCCGCGAGGTCGCGATAACCGCCGTCGCAAAGTCCAATGCAGCGCTTCGGGTCCCTTTCAACCTGCTGCTACTGAAACTCAAAACTGGCTCGGAAATGCGGAACAAGGTCCCTTGAGTAGGGTTCTGGGTAGGGTCCCAACATCTCTGGCGAACAAGGGCTCTTGGGTAGGGTTCTATCAGGGCATCGAACTCTCAAGTTCGAACTTCCACCACTCCAAAACCATTTAAAATTTGCCAGCATTCAACTGAAATCCATAAAACCGCATTCCACCTCGCTTTAAGTTTAAACTTTGGGCATTTCGAAGCCTTAGGAGCTCGCCGTGTCACGCCACGACACGACGATATAGCTGGGAGCTGTAGGGGGTGCTCTATGGACCAATTTTGTATGAACAGTAGGCACGGATTTGGGGAAATCCTAACGGATTTGGGAGAATCCTATCCTTTTACTGTACCATGGAAAAAACAGTCCACCTGTTCACCTATTTCGTTCCTACGGTTTTTGCATGCAAATCGAGCCTGTAAGCGGGAAACGCTCAAACCCGGGCAAACGGAACATTGAAGGGGAAAACCCACAGTAAAAACAATCACTTCGCTCATGCACCAGATACGTTGTCTGTGCTGCCTCGCAGGGCTGAATCTCGCAATTGTCAAAAAATTGGCTTCACTGTTCGTTATTGTTCAAACTGGAGCCAATCAGGCTCAGTGTTAACGCGAGCCATTATGAGAACTAGGTAGGTGGGTTTGAAACTCAGGTTGTTTGGGGTAGGACAATAGAGAACATGTGTACTATAACATCTGCATAGAGTGGCTCTCCCAAATCTAACTGTCGGTCAAAAGCATTCCAAATTGCAATGAAGGTAACGTACAATAAAGAAGTAATTTCCTCTTATTAGGGAATCTGCTTGTAAGGAATTAGTAATTCCTTACTGAGGCTTGCTACAGGGCGTACGACTCGAACAGTCCCGAACCATCGCTAGGGTTCCATACCTATCAGTTCGAGCCTCCTTGGCCTTTCCGGACCTCGCTACGACACATCGAGGCCATTCGATACTTTTCCCGAACCTTCCGATCCTACGACCAGGATCACCCTAGGCTTTCTATATATTGTATTGTCTTTCATTTTATTGTCATTCACTCGTTCACAGTTTCGCCATTGCCCTCCGCGCTACTCGGCAGTCCCATTCATAACACTTGGTATTCAGAGCCACTTTCCTCACCCGCTGGGCTTCTGAGGGCTTTTTTTTTTTTTTTTTTTGGGAGGGGGAGAAGGCGGATGGCGCTACAGAAGGCACAGCGATTGTCCTGAAGCATGATATGATATGCTTCAACAACTGCGTCTGTGTGGGCTTCTAAGTACTGTCGATCCGACCCCAAGGGACGAGCAGGATTCGCTAGGCCATCCCCTCGAGGGCGGTTGTGTCCGTCCTGACATGGCGAGGATTTTAAAGAGTGTTTCCGGTATGTTGTTTATTTTGCATATCGTTAAATGGGCTTCGGTTGCATTTTCCGCAATTTCGGCAAGCAGCAACGACGATTCGGATTGGTGTCCGAATGTAGCGAGGAGCTCGTCACGAGGCGACAAGCTCGCGGATATCCCCAGGCGAAATGGATTTCGTCAAGAGCGCGTGTACCAGACGTGGCTGCATGGTGAAGTGTAGCTGACGTTACGAGGCTCGGTGTTTCCGGCAGGCGACACGCAGGTGAAGACGGGACTTCGGATACTGTTAAGCAAACGCGGCGTTGGAGTTTTCGGCACGACTAAGGATCGCACGGCAACACACGTGGGGCTCAGGCACGGAAAAGTTTCAGGGAGTACTGACCTCGAAATTTATTCGCGTGACCTGCCCGCCTGGATGTGTAATTCGTCTGCCCTGGAGTTTCGAGCTCGGCGAGTCTGGATTCCTGTAGAGGAAGCCATTTTCGTGGTCAGAATTTACGCCCCACGATCCACGGAGGACGACCAGCAACTACCCTTGGGTCGAGTTTAAGTGTCATCGTCGGGTCAACGCTAAAAGTCAACGACGAAAAGCTGAAGCAGAGAAGGAGAACGACTGGGTTAAAGCCGGGAAAAATTAAGATTCAGCGGCAGACGGATCCTCCGACTGACTTGGCTGGGTCGCCCGATCTTCAACATCTCCACCGGGTGGTAGTACGATACATGTTATCGACCGCTCCCGGACGAATAAGGGAGGATGAGCCAGCGGATCACCCTGTGCTGGTGGATCGAAGGAAAAGTTTCGGCGCTACACGACAGGTGCACGATTGGTGAAAATCGGACGCTGTACAGTGGGAGGCGCGTGAAGCTGGTTAACGAAAATAACGAAGGAATTTTGCGACGGAGATCGGACGGTACGCGGAGCTCGAGTCCGATACGAACGGCGAGGATGTGTCGCCGAGAACGATGGAGCTGCGAGTTTTTCGAAAGAACGTGCGCGGTACTGTTTGGAGTATGACGAACGTGGGCGCTAGGTGAACAGCGGCCTACGGGGGTTTTTTATCGTGGAAGCAGCAGTTGAAGAAATTTTGAAGCTGTTTGGAGCAGATTGTTGCAGAAACAGATTTTTTCAGGGAGGGGAAGGAGAATCCCTCACGTAAGCTGCAAAGCGGTTGCCCGCGAATTAAACTGATTAATTCGCCCAACTACGATAGCGTTTGCGCTTACCTGAGTACGCGCACACGTCGGATTCACCCCTGCTCTATAGTGTATTCATCAAATGGAGCTTCAGGACGACAAGGGTTACTGTTGCAGTGGGAAAAGCGTGTTGCCGTCACGGAAAATTTGGAGTTACGCGGGAGTCTTCACGGATTATCCCTGAGTTGGGGGGCTATAATCAAAGACTCGGCTGCGAGGACTCATTCATGGATTTACACTGAGGGAAAAAACCGTCCGGATGTTTGGCAATAAGTTGGGTTTTTAGGCTTTGAGACTACTGTATGGTAAACCTGCAAGATGCACGGTGGTACATGTTGGGAGAGGCACAAAGTGGATGCGTTCACAGCACTAAGAACTAGAATAGTACATTGGATCTAACTCATACTCCAAAAGATATACAACGAGTACATCCGGACAGTTTTTTCCCAGGACAAAGAGCAAACTTCCGAACAACGTTTCTAGTACCTAGTCCACCTACTCTTGGCGTTGATCACCATCCACACCCTCCTAGGCATGTTATCTATGTGGTTAGTGCAGACCTTTGCATGAAGCTTCTTGCACTCTTCCTTGACCCACCATTTTGCATAAGGGGGTGAGCACAAGGAAAATTGCGAAGTATTTGAGCGTATGCATAAGTATTGTGCACGAATTCAGATTGAATGTAATCTCTGAGACTAGCCAAGCCGAGGGGTGTCCAAAGATGCCATTACTTGAATGGTCCCGGCTTATCATGGGTTGTTTTCGTCGAATCAGAGTAGGGTGAAATCACGTATAGAGTGGCAAAATCTAGCATACCCGCCACGAAACTTAGGGTAACCGAGCACGGTCGATTGAGCATCCTTTCATTGTTAGAATCATGTTAAAATCCGCGAGTCTAGTGACAGTGCATCAGTTGAAGAAGTCTCGACTGTTTGGGAAGAATATCAGGGTTGAGGTCTGGTGAGGAAGAGGGGCACTCCAGAGCTACATATCCATGCTCTCCGAGCCATTCCAAGCCTAGGCAGGGAAAATGACATGGAATGCCTTGGAGAGCATAAGTATGTTGCGCTGGAGTGACCCTTTTTCTCACCAGACCTCAATCCAGATATTCTTCCCAAACAGTCGAGGTTTCTTCGACTGCTGCCCCGTCACTAGACCCGCGGATTTTAACATGGTTCACACAGTGAAAGGATGTTCAGTCGACCGTGCTCTGTTACCCTAAGATTCGTGGCGGGAATGCTAGATTTTGCCACTCTATTCGTGATTTTACCCTAGAACGATACGACGAAGACGACCCATGATAAGCCGGGACCATTTAACTAATGGCATCTTTGGCCACCCCTCGGCTTGGCTAGTCTCTGAGATAACATTCATTCAGAATTTGTGTACAATACTTATGCATACGCTCAAATACTTTGCAATTTTCCTTGTGCTCACCCCCTTATGCAAAATGGTGGGTCCAGGAAGAGTGCGAGAAGCTTCATGCAAAGGTCTGCACTAACCCCATAGATAACATGCCTAGGAGGGTGCGGATGGTGATCAACGCCAAGAGTAGGTGGACTAGGTACTAGAAACGTTGTTCGGAAGTTTGCTCTTTGTCCTGGGAAAAAACTGTCCGGATGTACTCGTTGTATATCTTTTGGAATATGAGTTGGATCCAATGTACTATTCTAGTTCTTAGTGCTGTGAACGCATCCACTTTGTGCCTCTCCCAACGCGTACCACCATGCATCTTGCAGGTTTACCATACAGTAGTCTTAAAGCCTAAAAACCCAACTTCGTGCCAAACATCCGGACGGTTTTTTCCCTCAGTGTACCTGGACGGGCGCAAAGATGGGTGAACGTCGGCGCGTCGCTAAACGTCGGGTATTTTCAGGGTGGGAATCTTCAGATTCTCGGCTGGAGCGGTAGCTGGGGTCCTGGGTACCTACCGAGCTGTGCGATGGTTTAAATACCAGCATGGTTATCGGTGAAACTGCAGAGAATGCGTTTTTTGGAACTGAGAACTGTACCTGAGTTTTTCTGGGGTACCTGCCGTAGCCGCGCGATGGGTGGACGTTTGTACGGTGAACCGGTCAGGTGGAGTTGAGAATTGAACAACAAAGGGTAACAACACGAAGCAGATCGACGGCATTCTGCGGGGCAGAATATCGATCTACGGCGTCGGATGGAGCTAGAGTCTACGTGGCACAGCTGCCCTGCGTTATAGGGTCGCGCTGAGACTGGTCCCGACGAGCAGAGTTTGAAAATACTTCAAGTTTTCGGGTCTGAAGAAACTTGAAGCGGGGTGTTTTCGACACCGACGACAGAGTTTTTCCCTTCATGGAAGGGGGGAGAGAGCAGCTGTGCAGCAGTTGTTTTTTTGGAGTTTCCCTCGAAAAGTTTGACATCCGCTGCAGGAGCATCGACGGACAGATGCTGTTTGACTAACTGAATCGACGGACAGATTCGAATTGGCATTTCGGGAATTTTGCTGGTGTTCGCGAAATTTGAAGGCATGTTTAGTTTAACCGCCTGAGGCAACATCGCCTACGGTTACAGGACTGGTTGAGCTTTCGTCCTTGAGCTGATGGACTTTGCTGACTTTCGTGAGACGCGGACGCGTGTTCTCGCAGTGTCGCGAATGACCTCTCACTTGACGAATGGCTGGA